GAATCTCAACAAGCAATGTGCATTCCGATACATACAAAATGGTGTTGAATGGCGCAGGCAAGACTTAGATACAAATCCTGATCTCACCGAGACTGACCTCATTCACGTAGTATAAGATAGCGAAGCAGAATGCTAGAATGTTAATGACTAGCCCAATCAAGGTTTGAACGCAGACCAAACATACATCGTGTCCATCACAAGGTGTGAAGGAGCCTGGCGCTGTACACAGGAAGAAAACGCTAGGTCCAGACATACACATACGAAGAGGAGGGGATCAGACGAAGAGAGGGGGAGAGATGGGAATGTTGTCAACACCAAGTCTTGGTCACAAGTCCCAAATAATCCCTCGTCGTAATGTCTGAAGCCCAAAAGTCGAGTCTGGATCCGATGTCACAAAGCTCTCTCTCTCTCTCTCTTTCTCTCGTAGTCTGCTGATGCAGTGAAGTCAGATAATGAGAGGATGAGAGGGAGATGGTGGACTGAGAAGAGGAAGAAGAACTCTCTCTCTGTCACGAGCCAGATACTAACCTGTGAAGCTGGTGTTGTGTTGCAGGTACCTCGAAGACGAAGCTGGAGCAACGGCGCTGCAGGTAGGTACTCCTGGCCTCCGCCCAATCTCTCTCTCTAGTGCTATCCTAGCTATGGCGCCCAACGCTGAAGACTACAGCTACATACTACGCCCAACGTTGAAGACTAAAGCTAATGCTACTACTACTCCTGCAGCGCTCCCTCCAGAGTGCTGCTGCCGAATCCTACAGACTACTGACTACCTCCTGCCTGCCCGTGAAGTGCATGGGAAGTCCCTATGTACTACCTCGGCCTGCGTCCTGACTACCTGCAGGGCGAGCCAGGCCGAGGAGGCTGCTCTTGCCAATGTCGAAGTGTGCCAAGGGCTAGAGCTGCAGCCTCTGCTGAGGCTGTCGTGGGAATAGGCTAAGAATAGCCTGTTCCCGAAACCCTGGTTCGGTGCCTGAGTTTCAGGGCCGGTCGTTCTGATGAACGACCGAAAATGGCCCTTCGTTTCAGGCTAAAAAGGCTATTGCCATTTTTAGTCTGAAACGACAAGGTCTGCAGGCCCCTGTATTTCAGGCTTTCGAGCTCAACAGACACGGGGCCTGTAGGCCCTGGTTTTCAGGCTTTCGGCCTGAGGGATGCAGGGCTTGGAAAATGGCCCTCGTGTGCAGGCGCATCATGTAACACCCCCCCTGCCTTATGAAGTCAAGCCGGGAAGGGGGCGAAGCTGACGGTCTGAAGGTGGACCAGGAACGCGGGTGGAGCCGAAGATACCGGCTTGCCTTGCATCTTGCGTTCGTAGCGTGCGAGTACGTCTGGAGTTGTCGTTTGCAGTTCCGCACGGGTCAACCAACGGTCAGCTCTGTGGCTGCAGTATGCAAAATGGACCAGATACTCAGTCGGCCTGTTGCCGTAGCGGCGCTGGGAGATGATGTCGCCGACCTCTTGAAAACCGTCCATAGAGGGTGGGTCTTGCGAACGTCTCCTGGGAAAATCGTCATGTTCCGCTGGCGTGTAAAAAGCCAACATGGAGCAATGAAAGACTGGGTAGACGGGCAAGTGGGCGGGCACCTGAATCGTGAAGGAAGGTCCGTCGGGTGCGTCTCCAGCGGGTGCTACGGTCGGCCAAGAGTTGTAGGCCAACTCAACATCCGGCAGCCGCTCAACCCAGTCTTTTTGGTCAGGACGGATGAGAGTGCGAAGGAGAACCTGTGCGGTCTGGTGCGCCCTCTCCATTTGGCCATCGGTCTGAGGGTGGCGAGCTGAACTGGGCTTGAGAGATGAGCCCCATCGCTTGATGAGCGCCAACCAAAAATCGGACATGAACCGAATGTCGCGGTCGCATACGATTTCCTTGGAGTAACCCTTGGTTCGAATCCAACCGGTGTAGAGAACCTCGGCCAACTCCGGTGCCTTGGCATGATAGCGACAAGGCAAAAACATGGCGAACTTGGTGAGTCGGTCGACCATCGTGAGAATCCCATCCACTCTGGTCTTGTGCTTGGGGAACGGGCCGGTAATGTCCATGGCAATCGCTTCCCTTCGCCTCAACGGGACCGGTAATGGTCGTAACTAGCCATATGGACGATGGTTGCAGGATTTGCAGCGTCGGCAAACCTCGCATGACTCGCAATAGCGTGTGACGTCGCCGAGAAGGCCGGGCCACCAAAATCGCTCGCGAAGTCAGCCAATCGTGCGATTGACTCCAAAGTGTACGGTGGCGGGAGCATCGTGGAACTCGCCAAGAAGCCGTGTACGCAAGTGAGGATCACTCGGTACGCAAAGAAGGTCCTTCCCCCGCGTGTGGACAAACAAGTACCCCTCTTGGATCCGGTAGTGAGAAGGCGCCGGATTAGGAGAGGAGCAATTTGCGTACTTGTCGCAAAACTCGGGGTCGGCTTGGTAGCCACGGATGAAGTTGTTTTGCAGGTCGTCGTCAATCTCGAAGGTTGAGTAAACCGTGGTACAATGATCCGGACGCCGTGAAAGAGCATCCGCAAAACGGTTCGACTTCCCGGGAATGTGATCGGGAAAGAAGTCGAACTGGTCGATGAAAGCCATCCATCGAGCGATGGTGCTGTTCACGGTGTCTTGGGTCTTATAGAAGACCAACGGATTGTTGCCCGTTACCCATCGAAATTGGCTTCGACCAAGGAGGAAGTACCGCCACTGCTTGAGCGAGTGGACGAAGGCGAGGAGCTCCTTGTGTGCATCGTCAATGGAGTGCACGATGGGCACTTCTTGCTGAAATATTCGACCAGGTGCCTGTCCACGCCATCGTGTTGCTCGAGGACTGCACCAATGTCATAACCGGACGCATCCGTAGTGACGCGCGTAGGCAACAGCGGGTGGTATATGCGCAAGACCTCCGCAGATAGCGCGGCTTTGAGAGCCAAAAACGATTCTCGCGCCTTCTCTCCGAAGTCAAATGGCCGATCCGCGCATTGAAGCTTGGTCAATCTTCGAGTAGCTTTTGATAAAACGCTGGTAGTAGCCGGCAAGGCCAAGGAACGAACGAACATCCGTGACGTTCCGAGGCTCCGGCCACTCTTGGATGGCTTGAATATTGTCCGATAGCGGAGTGATGCCCTCCGGTGTGACAAAATGGCCCAAGTATTCCAAATTCGCACTTGTCGTGGTTGGCCTTATACTTGGCGCGGCGGAGCGTCTCCAACACTCGTCGAAGATGCCCAAGATGATCCTCCAATGTCCAGCTATAGACGAGAATATCGTCTAAGTAGACTAGACGAACTGGTCCAACATTACACGGAACTCGTTGGTCATTGCCGCTTCAAAGGTCGCCGGGGCGTTGGTGAGGCCAAAAGGCATGACCACCCACTCAAAATGCCCGTACCGCGTCTTGAACGTGGATTTTGTAGCGATCATTCGGCCGGATCGAGATTTGATGATATCCCGATTTCAAATCCAACTTAGAAAAATACTTTGCGCCGCCCAATCGCTCAAGAAGATCGTCGATGCGAGGAAGAGGCCCCGCATTCTTGACGATTTGCGCGTTGAGCTTGCGGTAGTCGATACATAATCGTAGATCCTTGTTCTTCTTCCGGACGAAGATAACCGGTGCTCCATACGGGGAGCTACTAGGGCAGATCCAGCCCTTGGCTAACAAATCGTCGAGTTGTGCGCGGAGGACCTCAAGCTCTTCGCTCATCCGATAGATGCAACCTTTCGGAGGCACGGCACCGGCCTCAAGAATTATCTCGTGAGAGATCGGCCGATCTGACACCACACCGGTAGGTGACTCGGTCGAGAAGTTGCTGCGTCTTTCCATCCGCCAACTTGATCGCCGTCGGGTTTGCCTTCCTCCGAACTTGTGCGCCAAGGCCAGCCCTTTGCATAAAGGTTTGGCTCATGAAATTGCGAGACGAGCCGCTATCCAGCAAAGTGTTGCAGGACGCTTGCCCAACCTGGATGCGGACATACATGAGCGGTGCGTTGTTGTCATCGTACCGCTGCGTGCGAAACTCGCGGGCCACCTTGGTAACATACGCAAGGATGTCCCCCACCGCGACTTCGTCATCCATCGGCGAAGTTGGTGGTGCATAGAAGGATAAGTACATGTGGAGATGAGCGCATAATGCTGCGCATCGTGGTCCCGACAGGCGGCCCGTGGTCGGGAGAGGAAGCCATGCAAAGTCCTCGGACGTGAGCGGGTCCAATACCTCTATGTTGAACTCGCACGCCAAATCCCGTGAAGAACCACTTGAAGACGATAAGTCGCCGCTGTCGGACGGAGAAGATGCCGCACACACGTCTTGTCCTTGAGCTTGAGTACCCTGCGTAGGAACGAGTCGGGCAGCATAGTCCTCAAAAGAATATAGAAGAGGAGGATTATCGACTTTCGCATGCGCCTCAGAATGAAGGTCGGTCACTCGCGAAGAAACCGGTTCGGAAGGCGTCGAGAGTGTCGTCGAGTCACTCTCGGCGGTGCTCAGTTTCCCTGTTTGCCCTTGCCTTTCAATGGGCAGGCCAGTGTCTCATGGAGATCGTTGTTGCACCAAAGGCAATAGTGGAATCTCGTGCGAGCTTTGAATGCTTGCTCGAGGATGCCATATTGGGACCATGGGGCTGGAACTGTTGCGCCGGGCCCGGGGCTAGATGCGGTGTGTGTCTTCGTCTTGCCGCGTCCTCGGGCTTTGCCGGGGCGACCACCTTCCCGGGCGGCTGCGAGTCTGTCTACTTCATTGCCAGACACGGCCTCGCTAGTTTGGTCAAACGGCGTTGCCGCCGCGACCACGGCCACTCTTGGCCAATGCTGGTCTCTGCTCGGGCCTGGCGCAGACGAACGCAGGTTCTTAGCCTCCTTGTTCGTGATAATGATCTGCGCGGCCTTGTCAAAGAGTTCCGCCATTGTCGTCAAGGTGTCCTCGACGTGATTCAGGGCATTGCTTAATGTCGGATAGGACCTTGAGATGAAATAGTGGCGGATGGCTTTGAAGCCCATCTGGATGTCTGGGACTGATGTCAAGCGTTGGTACTCGGCAATCCAGTCGGTACTCAGCAGCGTGCCTTGTTCGAAGACCATGAGCTTGTCCATAACCTTGATCTCCGACGGCTCGACTTGGAACCGCTTGTGCCACGCCGCCTTCAGATCATCCCAGCTGATCTTGGTGTGCAAGTCGCCAGCTACTACTCCGTACTTGGACAAGAGGTTGTCCAACCATGCCTGGCACGCGCCCCCCGACTGGGAGTATAAATACGCGTGGTGCTTGTGTTCCTTGACGTAGTGTAGCTGTAGCGTGAGATCGAACTTGCCGAACCATGATATCGGATCTGTCTTCGTCGAGTCGCAGAAGATCTCCTGCCCATCGAACTTTGGAGCTGTCTCGCGCGGTTCCGAACTTGAGTGGTTGGCGGCAGTGCAGATCCGTTGTTCCAACTGTTGCGTTGCGGTCTCGATCGGAGGTGTTCGAAGAGCTTGCATCGGGGGCGGCAACAGGTCACTGCTCCAGCTGCCGGAGGCAGCCGTGGACTTGAGCCAGCGAGTCGTCGAGGTTGTGGATGTCCTCCTGCTGTGTAATGCATGTCGCCAGGAGGTCCGTGAGATGGGAGAGGAGGAGAGCGATCTTGTTTTCGCTATCCTCCATCTTGCCATTCTCGGCCTCGGTCCGCCACTCCGCTGCCATTGTGAGCAAAGTCTGCTCTCCGCTAAATATCTTCTCCCGCCGTTGAACTCGTTCTTCATCCGCAGCCTTTGCTGCTGCCTCGTCGTGCTGGCGCTGTTGTTCAAGTGCCAGCAGACGTGCCTGCTCGGCGTCCTCTGCCTTCTTCTTCGCTGCTGTTGCTGCGTCATCCGCCCGTCTCTTTGTTTCGGTACTCCAGGCTAGCATCCGCCCGTCTCTTCGCTGGCGTGGCAAGTTACCAATGTCGCCGCAGGGGGTACCCAGAGATAGATAGAGAAGGTAAGGCCAGATGGGGCAACAACATAGGTGGGGAGGGTGGTTGAGGAGAATCGCCCAGATAAGGAGCCACTAATCAAAAAAGAAAAGTTTGAACTTTGCAAAAAAAAATTCGAAATAATAAAAATCCCGAGTTTTGCAAGTTCAGTAGGTCTCCCAACCTCCTTTGAAGTGCGAAATGATCAATGAGAAAAACAATTTCAACTTCAGACTGCAAATGATTTATAGAACTGACTAACAGAATCCTAGAACTGCGGAAAAAAAAATTCCGAAAAGAAATGACACGTATTCGGATTTACTCAGATGAGAGTATTCGCAGATTGGAAAATAATACCTGCAGGAGGGATTTCCCGTACCGTTTTCAAAAAAACGAATTTCGAACAAGAAGATATTCCGAATTTCTAAGTAACAGGAAATGCAACAGGAAAAATAAATTTTCGAAAAGAAGGAGCAGGAAAACGAAAACGGAAATTTCAGATGTTCGCACTACAACAGAATAGCGAGAAAACAAAATCCAAGAAAAGAAAAAAAAAAAAGATTTTCGGCAGTAAGGTCAAAATCCTGATTTTGGGGGCTAACTAGTGTGCTCTAATCAATCAATAAAGACTAATCAGCTACATAGTCCCCGCACACGTGTCAGATCAGGTTGTCCTGATTCACGTGCGGTGTTCCAATACCAACTGTTACATGCCCAGTTGGGCGATGTACGTAATAACCAAGGATCCGCAATGTGATGAAAAGGACTGAATGGGCAATGCAGTGCAAGTAAAATCTCAACAAGCAATGTGCATTCCGATACATACAAAATGGTGCTGAATGGCGCAGGGAAGACTTAGATACAAATCCTGACCTGACCGGGACTGACCTCATTCACGTAGTATAAGATAGCGAAGCAGAATGCTAGAATGCTAATGACTAGCCCAATCAATGTTTGAACGTAGACCAAACATACATCGTGTCCATCACAAGGTGTGAAGGAGCCTGGCGATGTACACAGGAAGAAAGTGCCAGGTCCAGACATACACAGACGAAGAGGAGGGGATCAGACAAAGAGAGGGGGAGAGATGGGATGTTGTCAACACCAAGTCTTTGTCACAAGTCCCAAAAAATCCCTCGTCGTAATGTCTGAAGCCCAAAAGTCGAGTCTGGATCCGATGTCACCAAGCTCTCTCTCTCTCTTTCTCTCGTAGTCTGCTGATGCAGTGAAGTCAGATAATGAGAGGGTGAGAGGGAGATGGTGGACTGAGAAGAGGAAGAAGAAGAACTCTCTCTCTGTCATGAGCCAGACACTAACCTGTGAAGTTGGCGCTGTGCTGCAGGTACCTCGAAGACGAAGCTGGAGCAACGGCGCTGCAGGTAGGTACTCCTGGCCTCCGCCCAATATCTCTCTCTCTCTCTAGTGCTATCCTAGCTATGGCACCCAGCGCTGAAGACTACAGCTACCTACTGTGCCCAGCGCTGAAGACTAAAGCTAACACTACTACTACTCCTGCAGCGCTCCCTCCAGAGTGCTGCTGCCGAATCCTGAAGACTACTGACTGCCTCCTGCCTGCCTGTGAAGTGCATGGGAAGTCCCTATGTACTACCTCGGCCTGCCTCCTGACTGCCTGCAGGGCGAGCCAGGCCGAGGAGGCTGCTCTTGCCAATGTCGAAGTGTGCCAGGGGCTGGAGCTGCAGCCTCTGCTGAGGCCGTCGTGGGAACAGGATAAGAATAGCCTGTTCCCGAAACCCTGGTTCGGTGCCTGAGTTTCAGGGCCGGTCGTTCTGATGAACGACCGAAAATGGCCCTTCGTTTCAGGCTAAAAAGGCTATTGCCATTTTTAGTCTGAAACGACACAGGGTCTGYAGGCCCCTGTATTTCAGGCTTTCGAGCTGAACAGACACGGGGCCTGTAGGCCCTGGTTTTCAGGCTTTCAGCCTTGAGGGACGCAGGGCCTGGAAAATGGCCTTCGTGTGCAGGCGCAGCATGTAACACTCTCTCTCTCTCTCTCTCTCTCTCTCTCTGCCCTCACCTCTTCACTCCCTCTGCACTCCACCCAACCTTTGCCCTCCCTCCTGGCGCCCTCCTTCCTCCATCAGACCGGAGGCCCTTCTTGCATAACCCTGGACCTTAGAAGAGCATTTGTTTTTTTTTCCGTTCACCTGTGTGTGTAAATTCTTCATTTCTTTTCAAAAACTCAATATGGGTGCACGCACGCAGTCACATTTCACCAAACACTCTTCCTCCTCCACATCCTCCTCATGCTTTTCCTTCCCCTTCACGTTCCTCCACACCTTTTTTGTCCGTCCCCTACACCACCCAAGGTACGTCTCTCGCTCCTGAAACTCTTCCTCCTCAACATTCTCCTCTCGCTCTTTGGGGACAGCCTTGAGGTTAATCATCGAACTGACCTGTCCTAGATACCGCAAGCGATCAATTCTTTCCACAGCTCCCGCTCTTCTTCCTCCACCCCCTACACCCGCAACAATGAGTCAGTCATCTCTCTCTCTCTCTCTCTCTCTCTCTCTCTCTCTCTCTCTCTCTCTCTCTCTCTCTCTCTCTCTCTCTCTCTCTGTGTGTGTGTCTCTCTCTTCTTTCTTGACCGCTCACGCGTTCTCCCCTTTATTGAGCTCGAAAACATGGAATGTACTCCCTTGGTCAGGCACAAAGAAGGGCGGAGGCAGGGAGGTAGGAGGGCTCTGAAAGAGGACGCAGGGAGGGAGGAAAGGAGAAGGGAGCGAGGAGCAGGAAGGGAGAACCGAGGGGAGAGGAAGGACAAGGGAGGAAGGAACGAGGACCGAGGGAAGAGGGCAGAGGCAGGAATCAAGGAGGGCGGGACGAGGATGGGCCGAGGGAGGAGGGATGATGATGGTGCCTCTGAAGCCCTCTCTCTCTCTCTCTCTCTCTCTCTCTCTCTCTCTCTCTCTCTCTCTCTCTCTCTC